TTTTAGGGATGATAATTTAATCCGAAATCGATAGATTTCGACTCGATCAAACTTGATAGGGTCAGATTTTTTTTAAAGGAATTCGAGTTCGGGTCAAATTTTATATAGGCGTGAGATCGGGTCGGATTTGGGTGGAGGGTGAAAAATGTTTGACTCGAGCCGGGAGTAATAGTGTAATTTTTTCATATAAATTTATAGATAATTGTTATAATATATCTCTATAATTTTTTTAATTAGATCCCTATTTTATATAGGGTCGGGTCAAATTTATTCTTTAAAAATTTAGGTCAAGTTGGAGGGAAGGAAATATACTCTTAGGTTTGGTTGGGTAGGGTCAAAAATATATATTTTTCGGGTCGGATCGGGTTCAAGTAGACAAAGGCGGTACTAGGAATTTATTATAACGGGCGTTAAAATATTTTTTATTTTCCATACATGCATTTTTTCAAATTGAGGGTTGATAAAATTTTCTTTATTTAATTTTTAAAAATATATAATTTTTAAAAATTAATTAATAATTAAAAAAATTGGCGGGTCCAAGAGAAGTGTTCCGCCAATGCAGGTGGATGTTAATTAAGAAAAAAATTAAACAAATACCGTTTACAGTGAAATTGAAGTATTTATTAGAAGGTTCCTGAAATTGAATAAACAAAAAGGGAAGGAGGGTGTGGGGGTAAGACAGCATGCGGATGTGAGTTGTAATGCATAATTTTCAAGTCATTGGTAGTTTTAAAACCATTACAATTAAGTCTTTATCCCTCTCAAATTTTTTTGTATAATTGTTTTTAGGACACTTACTATTTTAAAATTATAAGTCTTGATCCCTAATTTGTCCGAAATTACTTTTTAATATCTTTATATTTTTAAAATTATTAAAATTAAACTCTTAATTTTTTTAATTTTTATGATTTAACTACGATTTAATACTTCTATATATTTTAATTTAAATAAATTATTATTGAAGGTACGAGGGTAGCAACAGTCATTTAACTCGGTGACGACAATTACCCCACACAGAGCCGTTGAGCGTGGCTGTCACTATCCCAACGGTAACTCCTTTATCTTTTCCTTATAATATAATATTCCCCCATTTTCTTCTTTCCACCTCTCATTTTCCAACAACAAAAAAAAGAATCTCTTTAAAATTAATAAATCTCGAGTGAAGCGACACTTTTGCAGAAATCAAATCACAACCGTCCAAAGTTTGTTTATTTGATTGGATGACACCATATGTATTTCTTTAAATATTTTATTGGAATTATTATTCCGAATAGATAGATAAACAGCTAATCAATATCATTATTAAGATAAAAATGGAAACTTTATTCTCAAATACAAGAGAGGATAAGAACAAAGGCATTAACAAGAAACCTGTCACCATCCTCTCGCTCTTTCCAGAACAATCCTCCCAAACCCTAATATACCCTTCGGAATTTTTATTTAGTCGTAAAATGCAATATTATATTTGAGAATATAATTATTAAAACATAATATTATTTTAAAAATATTCTATTATCTTGTTTAATTTGTTGAATAATAAAGTAAAATTATAATATTTGATTAGAAGAATATAAAATTATTTTGATGTATATTTTATTAAATTATTTTTATGATATATTTTTTCAATGAGTTAAACTTTGATATTAAATTATAAATATTTAAATAAAAATTTATAATAATATTTTAATTAGTACACTATTTAACATTTAAAAGGAAATACATTTAACATATTATTAATATAATTAATGGATTTTTGTTACTAAGAAGGATCAAATTTATAATAATATTTCCTCCCTTGGTTCGGTAGGTGGTCTCATTCTCAACAAGGATGGAGATTGGATTGTCGGATTTAATAAATCGGTTGGTATTTCATCTCCATTGCAATGCCAAACGGACTGTGCGGAAGCTTTTACACTTGTGTCTTCTCCAACAACCAACTCCAGCCCCGTTTCACTTGTTCGCTCTATTGCAAGTCTTATTTCAAAACAATGGACGATTGAATTCATTCTCATACGTCGTGAAGCCAATGATGCAGCAGATTTCCTTGCAAAATCTACCTTCGTTACAAATGAGCAACCATGCATATACCTAGAACCTCCCCAAGAGATCATACCTCATCTTGCTCGTGACCTTCATGGTCATGCTTTTATTCACACTTAGTATTTCATTGTAATAGTCTTTTTTTAATCCAAAAAAAATCAAATGTGGGTTAAAATTCTACAGGGCAAGTACAAAATTAAAGATATCATGTTTGAGTCCCTACCTTACAAAAACGGCTCGCATATATGGAAAGGCATAGGCAAAGTATGGCAAACCTTTCGAGAAAATGTAGTATGGAACTTGGGGAACAGTGAACGTATTGAATTTTGGGAGGACAATTGGATTAAGGACTTAAGTCCTATTCGAATTCATTGTCTACAAGCGATCAACATTACTGAAACTCCTTGCAAAGTAAAAGACATCATCAACGAAAATAACAAATGGAGCAGGGAGAAAATCAGGAACATACTCCCAAAAAAAGCTATCCTAGCCCTTGAGGTAATAACTCCCCCGCTTGACCCGGCAATTGAAGATTCTGTTGGTTGGAAAGGCACAAAGAATCGTTCGTTCTAGTAAAGTCAGCATACAACCTTGTTATTAGTTTCGTAACTGAACAGTCATACAAAGCCTCGGAGATCCTAGCAAAGTACCAAAACTTCCCTAAAATCAAGGTGTGGTTAAGACTGACCATCAATGACAGGCTACTCACGAATGCCGAAAGGGTCTGGCGCTATATGACCATCGACGCAAGGTGTCAAATATGTGGAGCAGAAAAAGAAAACATCCATTATATCCTTAGATACTACCCCCAACATTCTAGATTTGGAAGAGAATGATGCCACCTGACAAATTTGAGGAGTTTATGAGTTGCCATGTTAAGACTTGGCTCGTGGAGAATCTGGAAAAATCAAGGGAAAGATTGGACATTGGCCATGTAACACCCCAATCCGTACCCGACTAGGATACGAGTCTGAGGTGTCACATTGACTTCCCAAAATATTACTTTTACAAAATACCCAAGATTCAGTTTGATATTTCTAATAAAACCATTTACTTTCTATGATATAAAACATATGATTTTACAAAACTGATCAGAGCGTATCTAATACAGATCTTTTAACTACATGCCAACTAGAATCTATATAACAAAATACATGTTATTCATTTAGGTTTTGATATGACCTTCAGTAAAGAGAAACTAACATGTCTTGCTCCTCTTAGCTCCTCTTCCTACTTTCCTGAACCTACGTGTGAAACACTCACACGCTAAGTCAAAGACTTAGTGAGACATATAAATACATATGTAAATTATCAAATGCATGTACATATCATGTAATACAACGTCATACTTGTATGCATACTTTTTCATGTAACAATTACATACACACATGAATGTCATCATTTATATTTTCTCATACTCTTATTTGATTATCCTTTCTATCTCTTATCTCTTGTTCATATGATCTCTTATTTTCATATTCTATATCTTATAACATGTTCTTACATTATCATACGAGTCATTGATATTCATTCATATATATACATTAACATATATTCATGTACATCACATAACAAATGTTATAACCCATAACACACATTCTTTCCTGTAACATATACATACATTCACATATATAACCATATAAAACATGTAACACATATCTTATTACAACTCACATTTTATTGTTATCTTTTTGGTTAGCCCATGCACACTACTGAGAACTTAAGGTATGTGAGTACATAGAGGTTGTGCACTATGCTGTCACCACAGCTCGTATAATTCCCACTAGGGGCCCGTAGAATTTATCCCTAAGGACCACTTAGATGTCCCGAAGGACCACATATAACACATATGTCCCGAAGAACCGCGTAGACCCTCGACTCTTGGCATGCCAACTATACCTATAGCTCTCATAACACATGACATAGGCATTATCTTTTACCTCATTACATTCACATATTCATATCAAATAGTTCTTTTACATAGTTCTTTATCACATTTCATATGATCACATAGTCACGTAGTTTACTTTCATGTAGCATTTTTCCATGAAATTCACATTATTCATCCTTTTTACACATGGTCACATCACATAGTTCTTTATCCCATTTCATATAATTCACATATACCTTTTTCTCATATGCATATAACATATTATTTCTTATCTTTTAACTTATATTACATATGCATGTAATCGTATGACTTATTATCAATACCTCATAGATCACTATCATACAACACATCTCATAACATGTAATGGGAATATTCACCTAGATCACAAACATAGAGAAACAATTACATCTAAACATATACATAGACTCGAATTTCTCTAAACATCATATCACTACCTGCTTACATCTGGGTACTCATATTACCTAATATCAGAATTAGACTTCTAGCAATTCATAATTCCTTAACATAACTACACTTCATATCATGTACTCACCTGATCACCAATAACACTACCAAGATTTTTCTCTTTCTTGCGTATCTTACTTTAACGACCTATTCGAACTTTGCTTTCGATCGATGTCTACACAATCATATATTAATACTTATCAGTACCCAATTGATATACTATAATCTATCAATTCTTAGACTGAAAGAAAGATTTATTCCATTCCCCATTGAAGTGCATCGGTACATTCTATAGTGTATCGATGCATCCCTTAACAGGTGCATCGATGCACTACCCATGCATCAGTACACAATTTACATTCGATGTTTCTGTTGAAAACATAAAATAAGTTAATCAAATGAAATACGAATCTGGATGTGGTTGTGTATTTTGATCATATAGATATGATATAGGCAAGGAGATAAATATTTATGTGTTTTAAAGAAAATTTTGAAGGAAGAAAATACAAGCAAGATACGATAAGAATGAGGTTATGTATAAGTGAAGTTGATTAGTAAAGTTATAAAGATATAATAAAGACTGGTAATCAGAGATAATTTTAAGTGATAGGAAAAAGTATCTGAACATGAAAGAAAGATATGATTGGTGTATAAGAAGATTTTGATTTATGAAGGAAATGAAAGGATGAAGTTTAAAGAATCAGATGTGATAAAGGTTATGTTGAGATATAGATTATAAGTTTAACAAGAAGTAAGAAAGGTATGTCAGGTAATATGAGAAATTGTTTAGTTATGCAAAGTGTATGTTTAATCAGTTATGATAGTTATGCAAAGTGTATGTTTAATCAGTTATGATGAAGATTTAAGGTTATGTTTCTTGGTCAAGTGGATGTAGTCAGAGAAATGAATAAAGATTTATATGGATTAAGGAAGTTTTGGAGTCAATCAAGTCAGGATGAAATAAAAGTTTGGTGATTCTTGAAAGACAATTGAAGATTGACAAGGAATTTGATTGATTTATGAGTTTGAGTAATAAGAATTAATGTTATTGTCTATCTGATAAGTGACATGATAGGAGATATAAAGTAAAAAGGTAATCGAATAATTGAAATGATAAGAACCAAATTATTAAAGATGATACAAAAGATTAAGTTCAGAAAGCAGCATGAGAATGTTAGAAGATATGTTCTTCTCAGGATGTGCAGTGAAAATTCGAGGATGAATTTTTAAAAGGAGGGGAGATTTGTAACATCCCAAACTATGGGTTAGTGACCAAATTGTAAAGTTTTAGAATTTGGTGACTAAAGTAGAAGAATGGATTAGTTCAGTGATTTATTTGGAAGTATTTCCTAAAAGTTGTTAGTAATTATTAAAGGAACTAAAGGGTAAAATGGTCGTTTGATCATTTAAGGAATTAAAAAAAATGTGATAGTGGGGATATATATATTTTACACGTGGGAAATGAGGGAAACAATGTTTCCAGAATTCTCTTCTCCTCCTTTCTTCTTTGTGCGTGAAGCTCCAGCTCAAAGGTGAGTTTCTTAATTAGTTGGTTATTTGTTGAATTAAAAGTTGGGTTATGATTCTTAGGTGATACTTAAGCTTAAGGAAAGCTTAAGTTATCTTAAAATCAAAAGATAAATGAGTTAGAGAAGATTAAAGATTTGGAGTTCTTGAGTGAATTTCCAGAATGGAGTTGATAAGTTAAACTTGAAGCTAAATTTGACTTGTCATCAGCTTAATTAAGAAGTATTAAGTGTTAGAATTGGATTTGAAACATGTGGAAAATAGGGTATGATTCTTGAAATTCCTAAAGATGAGAGGATATTATGGTTAAAGATGAGATAAATGAATATTAATGAGTTTAAGTATGTATATGAAAGTTAGGAATATGAAAGGGGTTGAAATATGAAGGATTTAATCCAAAAAGAATGAATTTTCAGGTTCAAAAAGAGGTTCTGGGCAGAGTGCATCGATGCACATTCATAGTGCATCGATGCATCAAGGTTAAAACCCAGAAATCGTTTGAAGGTGTATCGATGCACAGGAAGTGCATCGATGCACTCTTTTAAAATAAATACATCGAATGCAATTCGTACATCGATGCATAAGTAGTGCATCGATGCATTCCAGTAATAAACAAACATCGAATGCATGTTATGCACCGATGCATCAGTAGTGCATCGATGCATACCTTCATTAAAAGATGAAATTGCCTTTTCTCTTAGTCTAAAGAGTGAACCATTAGAGTATATTAATTATAATACTAATATAGATCTATGTATGATGATGTAGATATAGAACGTTATCCCGTTCCGGATCAATTGAAGGATTATAATTGAATTAAAGCAAAGCTAAGATGAGTGCATATTCTCTAGTATATGAGGTTCAAGGGAAAATAAGACTTGTGATAAGTCTATTTCCAATAGTGAAAAACCTGAATTCACAGAAGTATGTATTTGTTATGATTTATATGTGTGCATGAGTATATGTGTTATTGATATGAATATGGTAAGTAAAAGGGATTAATGGTGATGATAAGAATAATAATAAGGATAATGAAATGATAGGTATATGAATATAGGTATTGATGTGTTTTGTATGTATTGTAAGATGATATGTTTATGTGATAACATGATAAGATGACAATGATTTACATGTCATATGAACACATGAGAAATGTTATGAGCCGTATGAAAGAGAAAGTATATGTGATACATGAGGGTGAATCCTATGTTTATATGATTATGAACTCATATGAGAATTGACATGAACTACGTGGTTACATGTATATGTGAATAAAACCATGAGCTTATATGAATATATGGTAGGTTACATGAATATGTAAAAGGATATAAAAGATAATGCACATGTTATGTGTCATGAGAGCTAGGGGTATAGTTGGCATGCCAAGAGTCAAGGGTCTATGTGGTCCTTCGGGACATATATGTATTCTTTGGAACATGTGTGAAGTCTGGTGAGACACATACTTGATCCTTGGCATATGTATATGATTCTTAAGGAATGATATGTGGTCCTTCGGGACATATATGTATTCTTTGGAACATGTGTGAAGTCTGGTGAGACACATACTTGATCCCTAGTATATGTATATTATTCTTAAGAAATGATATGTGGTCCTTATGGACATTATTATATGGCACTACGGTGCAATTCTACGCGGCACTCCGGTGCAATTATATGTGGCACTTCGGTGCAATTATATGAGCTGTGATGACAGCATTAGTGCACAACCTCTATGTACTCGCATATCTTTAGTTCTCACATGTGTATCATGGGCAATGTGGAGCAAGACAGGTCAGTTCTCCTTACTAAAGGTCAGATCAGAAAAGATGTGAATAATATGTATTTTAGTATATAAAGTTCTATTTGGTATGTTTTCAAAAGAATCTATTGTTTAAGCTATGAACAGTTTTATAAATGTTTCGAATAGTTATATGTAAATAATAAGTGAAATATACATGCTCTGATTGGTTTTGTAATAATGAAAATGTCTTTTATGTAAATTAGTCATTTTTATGTTATAAAAGTTTTAAATTACTCACTATTTTATACAAGTACATGTTTTAAAAGGTCAATGTGACACCTCGGATTCGTATTCGGGTCAGATACGGGTTGGGGTGTTACATTTAATGGTATCAGAGCTATGGTTTAGCCGATTCTAGGCTTAAATCGAAGTCAGAAGTGTTTTAAAAAGTGTACATGCCAACTCAAAATGAAAAATTCTGATCTGATAGTGTAAGGAGTATGTTGTCTTGCTAATAAAAATAGATTATTATGTGATAATAGAAGTATGATAATAAGAGCTTCGAAAGAAGTGAAAGGTAATAAACCTGAAGGTAATAGCATTCACCTGCCTGGCCAGGCAGGGAGAAGAGCGAACACCTCAGGAAGTGCCTGTATAAAATTTGGAAAATTATTCTTCATGTTGAAGAATGTTCTGATGTGTTTTCAATTTATACTTATTTAACTCATAGAATTAATGTATCAAATTAGTTGATAAAGTTGCGAGCACCCAAGTTCAAGGGTGGATTTGAGGAAGGTTCTATTGTTATAGACCTTTGGTTGAATGATATGATAGAAGATTTTCATATCTTCAAAGTGGAGATGTTGAATTGAGTAGTTTTGTTACTACTTTGGTAAGTTAGAGTATGGTGGACAATTGTCACCATAAGAAGTTAAAAGATTAAATGATGTGATTAGAATTGTATAAGAGTTGAAGAATAAGTGCATTGATGACCAGTTTATAAGACAGATGAAACTGGAATACACGAGCTTGAAACAAGGGAATTACATCTTGTATGAGTATGATTATAAGTTTATTAAGCTAAGCAGAATTGCTGCTGAGTTAATTCCGACTGAAAATGATACGTGTGATTTGTTGTTAGGACTTGCGCCTTAAATTAAAAGAGTGTTATTGGTTTTGAATTTGTTATCGTTTCAAGAAATGGTTAATTGTGTTAAAGCTTTAAAGAGAAAAAGCTCAGAACGAAAAGTTTGGAGAAATAAAATCTCAGATGATTAAGAGAATTAGTGCTTCATAGAATTTTAACACCATCAAAGAAAGGTAGAGATTCTGGTTCAACTTTAAACCAGACATGAATTAGTTGTATTCTTCGTCAGAGAATCAAATCAGATGAGAGTTCGACACACTCCAACAGTATGTTTGATCTTGAAAGATTAAACAAAGAGTTAAGTGAGGATAAGTCAAGGTTAAAGACAACCCTTGTGAATTGGGTTAAAAGCTCTTTGAGAAGTTATGTAAATCGAAGCAGAAAAATTATTTTAAATGGATTAGATGAGTATTGAAATCTGGTGATTTGTTTTGAAACAAGTGGAGAAAACATAAGTATAAGAATGGTAAAGAATAAGGTTTTGTGTACGTAAAGTTGACTATCAAAGTAATGAAAATGTGATAAGGAGTGATAGTTAAGGATAAATATATGTGATATAAAAGAGCATGGGAGTATGAAGAACATGATATGGTTTAGTTATGTATAAGACAATGCGGATTATAAAAGGATAAATGGATAAAGACCAAGGAATGGATTAAGTGTTTTGCTAGAAATTAAATAACGTGAAGGATAAGAAGTATTTTAAATGTATCAAGTGAGGTAGATACTGTTTTTTTATTTAAGATGGAAAGAGTTAGCGTAGGCTAACAAGATTATAGGACGGAATGTATTAAAATTACAAAATTTCAAGATATGGTAGGTTATGATAACCAAATATGAAGTGAATCTGGATACAGTTGTATACTGTGATTATAGTAAAGTGATAGAGTGAAGGAAGTGAGGATTCAAATGTTTGAGTAAAACTAAGGATTGATAAGAAGAGTTTAAGTATGGGTACATCAATGATCATTTTATAAATAAAGGAAGTTAGAATGTTAAGCTTGAATAATGGAAGTGACATGGTGTATGAGATTGAATGTTTATTTGATTAGTTGAGTAAACTATTTTTGAAATAATTCCGACTGCAAAGAATGTATATGAATGGTTTGATGAAGGTTTATGTTTTAGATTGGAAGAATCGATGTTGACTAACAGAGTTATAAGATAGTAGTGTATTAAAGTTAAAGGATTAGAAGATGATTTCAGGGTAATCTAATTATGTATGGTGTGGATTGAGATATGGTTATGTATTTTAATCATTGAAATGAAAGGTAATAAAGGAGACAAGGCATAATATTGTATATGAATGAGAGTATGGGTTCAATAAGTGAATTACACTGGGTTGATTTTAACTGAAATGATGTTTATGATTAATTTGATCAGGGCTTACGCCCTAGATTGAAAAGTTGTTATTAATTAGCTGTAATGGCATGGATGTTAGAATTATCAGATTTGAAGGAAACATAAAGTAAGTTAATCAAATGAGATACGAATCTGGATGTGGTTGTGTATTTTGA